GGCGCGAATAGGACACCGGAAACAAAGCTCCCCACAGGAGTTTCCGCACCGGAAGTAGCATATGCTAACGTGCACATAGTCAATTAGAGATAAAACACAAAGAGACAATCACCTCAGACCAGAACTCTGTAATGCCTCTTATTTTTTTCATTTGTATTTAGAAAAAAGACCCAGAGCCAATTTTATCCTATTAGTTTTTGTGCAAAATTTACCATATACATTTTTGAGTTATTGCCAGAAATATTGTCAAAATTGTCACATGTAATCCTGACCTTTGACTATCAAAATCTAATCCAAATGAACACAAAGTAGTACAGTGATAGTAAATGTATATATATTGCCCCCTTTAAGATTCAGATCACAAGGTCCTTAACATCAAATGCAACCCCAGAAAAAAACAAAACAAAACCCCACAATGAAACTGAATGTCCCAGTGCCAGTTTAAAAAGATGAGTCTTCAGCTGCTTTCTGCTCGAGTCTGTCGTAGACTGGAAGGCAGAGAATACCTAAAATTGCAAATTCCCTCTAATCTTTAGTTTCTTAGTGTACATTTGGGGATTGATAACAAGCCCTGATCAGACCTAAGAGCTGCGAACATATCGCTGCACAGATCTTGGCTGCGTTTAGCTGGACTCAGAAAGACAGTATACTGACAGTATCCGGTCGTTAAGTCTGATGTCACTAGCCGTGTCTGGGCCTAAACTCTGCTGCAGGTCCATATATCAGGTCAGCAAGCACAACCAGAATTCATACATAAGGCACACTCTCGATTTTTGAGAAAATTAAAGGATTATAAGTGTGCCTTATAGTGTGGAAAATACGTTATACAGAAGAAAATAATATATCGTGATATATATCGTTACCGCACGTGCTTCAAAATATATCGCAATATGAATTTTAGGCCATATCGCCCAGCCCTAGTTAAACGTACAGGCTGATTCACAGAGTGAAAAACGAGCCTCATCACTCGGTTAAAATGATTTGATTCTGTTGTTACGGCTCACAGTTTATTGTCCCGTTTAACTCTCTTCGTTTCTCATCTTCTCCTCCTCCCTCTCCCCCCCCTCCTACCCCTCCTCTTCCTCTCCCCTGTCAGATGATGAAGCATGCGTGGGACAGCTACAAGCGGTACGCCTGGGGTTCCAATGAGCTCAGGCCCGTCTCCAAGCACGGCCACTCCAGCAATCTATTTGGTGAGTGAAAGACCACGTATGTGTGCACGCCCAAACGCGCGTGCGCGCGATTGATCTCTTGTCCCTGCCACCAGCAGCCTTGGCCTTTAGATTAGCAGCCAAATTGGCCGTCAGTTAGACTCATCCATCTACACATGCCTCTAAATGTCAACTTTATCATATATTTATATTCTGTTTGTGCTTCTTGCCAGTTGTCAGTGTCTGTGCTCGTAATGAGTATGGTGATGTGGGGTGTTTTATTCTCTCTGTCTTCTTTTTTTTGTTTTGTTTTTCCCTCTCCTCGGTTTCACACTTTTGTAACTCTTCTCTGAAAGTCTTAATTGTCTGTCAGCCTTTCAGTTTTGAGGCTAGAATTACCACCTCTTGGTCCTCTCAAATCTGTCAAGTTTCAGTTTACATCCATGTCTCTCCACACTTATAATACATGCAGTGAAGACTTTGAAGCAATTAAATAGATGGGCACCAGAGATTAGTGTCACGAATTCAATAGCAGACTGAATGTGAAATATGATCCTTTCTGTTCCATAGTGATAGTGGTAAATAAAGGCCAAAATAATGCTTCATGACAGTCTCTGACCTTTCTCTTATGAGTCTGCTCAGTTCAGTTTTATTTATATAGTGCCGGTTCACAATAAATATTGTCAGACCTACAGTATTGACCCTGTGCACGAGAAAATGCTAACTTCCTGGTTTGAGACCGGATGTGGGGTTGTACATTTCCGGTAGCTTTACTTTGCGGTCAATCGCTACTGCGAAGATAT